CACTAGCCGAGACGACTCACAGAAGCTTGTTTTAATTTCAGAAAACTAGAAATAAAGTTTTGATACCTTTTTAAATAACATGACATAGCGGCTCTCCTCATCCTCCCCAAAGGAAAAAGAGGTCAGACCAGCCACTTCTGCAACATCGTGCCTGTAAAACAAACCGGACTGTCCACGAAAGGCTCAGCTCACTCACTAAATACTGTTTGGACTACTTACAATATACTCCTTTCTATTTTGCCCATAGGGTTGTATTTTCTTTTCTGCTGTGAGCTGTCTTGGATGAAATCGGACACTTCTTTCTCCATCTGGAAATAACAGAGTAAAGAAAGATGCACAGAAGGCTGGTGTGTTTGATGGCATTTGACGTCTCACCTTCTTCCTAAACTCTGCTTTCTTTCTTTTCTCCTCCTCCTCCATCTTCTTCAGCCTGGCAGCTTGCTCTTTAGGAAACAGAATGGAGTTTATTTCAGATTAAATTCAAATGATTCCATGTGTCTATTGACCTACTTTTCTTAAACAAGTTCAGTCACAATAAAAGAAATAAAAACAAGCATTCCATAATCCTGAACCAGGTTTACAGGCTCTAATATGCTGCTGGCTTTTCTTTTACATCGATACAGACATGGCCTCTAGTTTTATTACAGCCGTGATGTGAGTTTGTGTTCAGAAACAATCAAAATCTCTGTTTTAAGAGCGATGTTTACTGTTAAAAATGTTTGGTGTTTGTGGATTAATTTCTCAGATCTTAAGACAAAGTTAAAAAAAAAGCCTCACAGGCAGCGTCAGCTTCATGAAACTTGACAGTCTGCACCTGGTGCAGCACAGCATGATTATTACACTGCTGTACAAAGTCATGTCAGCTGGCAGGAGGAGTGTTTTGTTCGGTTAGACGAGAAAAATCCAGCTGGTCTTTTGAAATTCTTCTGAAATAATTTCCATTTAATGTCTTCCTTAAATTAACTTTACAAATAATTGGATATCTTTATCATTTTTTAGGTTCTAGGTTATCCCCAGATCCAACTGGAACTGAAGACAGATAAACGGATTACTAATGGTTTTAACCTTACTATTACCCCAATGAAGAAGAAATCTGAGAATGCCTGTTTGCTTCTTTCATCCATCTGAACAAGGCCATCTAGGATTATCCACACGCTCTGAACGTATTTAAATGATTTTCTATGGATTTTGGCTGCTCATCATCAAACATGAGACAATTAAACAACAGCCAAGTATTAAAGACATCACTTTGGTCCTGACGGATCTAAGTTGTCTTGTTTTACTCCAGCTATCAACAATAAAAATGACAAACGAGATGGACAATTCTCAATTTGCTTAGAATAAAGCAATGTAAGGTAAAGTCTAACCTAAGACATTCTACTGTAACGACAACAGTACAAAAGTATTATAGTAGTTCTCTAAAATACCACTTCCCTATCAGGACAGAAACAGAAAGAAAAAAAAACAGTTAAATAAGACTCTGTTTACAGGTTCTGGATCTGATTCGGGGTCAGCCTTTATGCTGGGACGTGTGTTTTTGAGGCGGTGCCAAACTCGTACTTGAAAGCTAAACTGACCAATGAACGGTTCTGTCCGCCTATCCTTTTAAAGTCAGCTTATGTTTGAATCTAGAGCAGCGTTCGCGTGAGCAGTCTCAGGCTAGCGGACAACAAGCCTTTTATTCACATGATGTTTTGTACCTCGAGCCTTTCGTCGGCTTTCTTGGTCGCCGACTGTAGGAGGTTTCTCCATCGAGTTTAAGATTGAGCCCAGGAGGTCTGCCATCTTGGAACAATAGAAAGGGACTTGTATGCGCCTGCGCAGTGGGGGTTGGGTTTTCTTCTATGTGTTTTTAAACTTGCTCTGAAAAGCTCTATCGCCACCATGTGTCAGAACGTTGTATTGAAAGTCCAGTTGAAACCATCGGGTTGAAACAACACTCCATTCATTCAGGTTTGTTTGAATTTCCACAAAGAAACAAGAATTGTTTAAAAATAGAAAAAACGGAAAAGGTGTAGGTGACATTTGGAAACCTAAGTGTCCTCCCCTTCTGGCTGGCTCATGGGTCCCCGATCAAAAAACAAACAAACAGAATGTTAGTGAACTAGGCTATAAAAGTTATTTTCTAGTCTTTCTGGGCTTTGCCTTACGCCCTGAGTCACATCTGTCAGACTTTTCATATCCTAGAGTTTCACCGTCTATTTTCTATCAGAAGCTAATGCAGGAGATAGCTGTAGGAGACTATTTTCATGTTCAGCCTGCATGAAAAACTCAGTGACACATTAGGATCAGAAATAATCATTAAATTACATTTTTCTCAGTGAGGTTGACCTATATATTGACCAACAGATTTGTTAGATTTCCAAAATGTGCCCCCCCCCAATATTAAACTTGTTCCCTTGATTACACCACACACACACACACACACACACACACACACACACACACACACACACACACACACACACACACACACACACACACACACACACACACACACACGTTGACACAAAATATAGAACACCTAGTACATGTAAATATCTATTGTGTGACTGTAACACAAACTGTAAACAAACATGTCTGCTGAACTTTTATTCTGTGACAACTGATGTAAAGTTTTCATCTTACAACAAAAATACGGCGCGGAGGATGCTCGTTATTTAATATAAGTTTTAAAGAAGAAACTCTGGGCGGTGTGAGGTGAGTTTTTAAGGAATAAAAACACGTCAAACACAACACTTGTCTGTATCTATATTTATGTCGATGGTCTGTATGAGTGTGCTGCGCAAATCATAGACATGAATACGTCGATGCCCCGTTGGGTGCTGGAGAGAGTAACAGCGTTGCCGCCATGTTGGATGGGTCTCCTCGCTCATCTGCTCATACAGTGACCCATTAGAATCAGAAATAATCATTAAATACATTTTTTTCAGTGAGGTTGACCTATATATTGACCTATATCAGATTTGTTAGATTTCCAAAATGTGTCCCCCCCAGTATTAAACTCGTTCCTACGCCCCTGGTCTTGAGCAACACTTTCCCAGGTTTTCTTTGCGTTTTGGTTGCTTTCCCACCGATTTCCAGCCCAGATTTACTCACAGAAAGCAATATCTTTATGTAAGCACCAGGGGGCATACAAGTGCATGTGTATTTGTGTGTTCATACCTTTTTATTGTTTTGTTAACAATCCTTCCCTGCGTCACTGGGGCTGTGTGTTTTGTACAGTGTGTAGTTTCTCAGCATCAGCAATAACACCAGCACTACTGCCATGTTCTGATGTGGATGAGCAGAAGGCCGGCCTGAAAACACAGCAACCATTCTAGTAAACAAACCCTACTTCCTCTGGGATTGTGACTTTTACAGGACTTTTTCTTCGACCGAGTCCACTGAGGTCTGCTTTTGCTCCCCTGTCCAGCTGTAGAGGTGGATGTAAGTACTAGACGTCTTTTGTCATTTACTCTGTTGTTAAGGAGCAAACTGCCAATAACTTTCCTAAACATTGTGACTGATGAAGTCCTGACCTCCACCCCTCAGACACCCACTTTTTCTGATTTGAACAGAGCCTGGTCAGCTCCCCCCCTCCCGTGTTTGAAATGCTGTATAAATGCAGCATCCGTGCGTCAGCAGCAGTGTCTGATAGCTAATTGGTACCCAAACATGAAGAGACTGAGCTTGGTCCTCCTTGTGCTTCTCCTGATGCTCGCATCCGGGGAGGGTAAGTGATGGATGCATCTGTCTTTAATACCATAACATTTTCAGATGACATGGAGGTTATATTTGACCTTTTTAAGGATGACAATGTACATTCTGTAATAATGTGACCAAACGTTCGTCACCTTTTCAATTTTTTCAGTAGAACTTTTAATTAACCCCCAGTTCTTATTTATCAGTCATTGGAAAATGGATTTTCTTTTCAAATCTAACCTACAGATAAGGATCCAGCAGTGCAGTACTGGACCTGTGGGTATAGAGGACTCTGCAGACGGTTCTGCTATGCTCAAGAGTACATCGTTGGTCATCACGGTTGCCCTCGGAGATACAGGTAGACCCAACCCAAAAGGATCTCTAAAGAACCCCCTCAAAAGACAAAAATCTGTCATTCATTAAAAAAATAAAAAATCACTTGTGGAATAAACTCAGATTTTCAAGAATGAAGACCAAAAAGAGGATGATTCATCAGATGAACTGATGCTGGACTCTGCTCTTTTCCAGGTGCTGTGCCGTGCGTTCTTAGCACTCGGCTTGTTTCATGAAACACGTCAGAACCTGAGTGATGACATCTCCAGAGCTGGATCCTAGTTTTGTGTGGATAAACCACATCGGACAGAGCTTTTGAAGTGGAGTTCATACAGTATAGTTAAAAAGTTTATTTTCACCCATTAGAGTAGCAGCTGTTCTCTCTGGAGTGAAACTATGGCTTTGCATCCAATAAACGCATTAAACTAAATATATATTTTGGTTTTTCATTCAGTTTTATCTTGTGAACGACTAAAATGAGCACAAATCGTAGCTCACATGTGGCTGTTGGGTTAAAACAACTCAAATAAAACAATTTGGGGTGAAACAGCAGAGTGAAAAGCGGTCCCAGTTCAGTCGGGCGTGCTTTAGCAACACCAGACAATGAGGGTCAAGTGACTGACCCACATGGCTGTGATGGAGCACAGCTTTTGTGAATGAAGTGTTATGCCTCTTGTCTGTGTTTGTGTCATTTCACCGTTGTCTGGACAGCGAGACCGGCAACAGGCAGACACCCTCACAATGCACCAGTCACGACTGCAAAGCACATCAATTGTGCACCACCGTCTGATTGTGTGCTTTCATTGTTTCTGTTTATTTCTTCTTATCGGAAGGAAATTTCTAGATGGCTGAAAACAAATTAAACAGTTTCAGAAACTAAAAAAAACCAGATTCAAATGTTTTAATCATCTCCTAATTTTGAAACATTTATCAGATCCAGGATCTGAAGATGGATGATCGGTGTGTTGGAGCATTAAAGTGGCTGCCCAGCGACGCCACCTGGTTCATTCTTGTGCTGTAGTTAAAACAATCACAGCTGTTGAGACAAGTCCAAATTAAGGGAGATGAGAGCGCGCTGACACAAACGCTCATTTTAAACAATTTATCAAAAAAACAAAACAAAAAAACAAAATTAAGCACTAATCTAACATTCAATGTGCTAACCAGGACAGAACACAGAGAAAACAGAAGAATGTACACATTCATTTGTAAATACAAAGCAGAATTATCTGTTTAAAAGACAGAAAAACTGGAAATCTTTTCTCAGATTGGCATCAAACATTTGAAAACAAGTAAAACAAATGAAACCGAAGACATCAAGTAAATACAAATTAATCAACAGCAACAAAATAAGATCCATATTTATGCAGAAGCGAGAGAGAAACACATCGTCCACGCCAGCCAACAACTCATGAAAGACCCGCTACAAAATTAAAGATTTTCCGCCCCGCATCACCAAAAATGAACATCTGGAGTTGAGAGGTGCTCAGTGCACAAAGTAACCATAAAATCACAAAATAAAGAAAAGCGGACAAGCTGATTCCAGTCCCCACCGGGTCAAAGACCCAGACCGTGTCGCCGCATCTCTTCTGATAGCTCTGAAACATTTTGGCAGTGTGTCAGACGGCATATTTATCATTTGATCTGGTGACAAATCAGTTCAGGATCTGAAAAATTTAAAAGAAAACCCTTTTTTTGTTAAACGTCGTAGCTTTAAAACTGCTCAGCCTGTCAGATGTAGCCACCTAGACTAGAATACTGACTCCATGTTGAAACAACGTTTTAGGACGGCTTAGCCAGTGGCTTCGTTTGAGCGTGGATTTTCAGATATGATCCTTTTAATAATTGTATAATTGAGTGGTGCACCAGCTACCAGCTGATGTTATGAACGTTCACCAGCAGAGTGTCAACTCAGGGAGTTAGGCCATGTGGCTGACACCAGTGCTGTGAATGTAATGACATACGCCCAAAACAATTCCATGCAGCAGTCTGGGATCACTACCATGACAATCTGACGAGAGCATCAGCTACAATCTGCATAAACTCTGATTTATGGTTTTTGTCTCCAGTCATACATCCCAGAGTCACATCCAGAATTTTTATAGTCCAAACTGATTTTAATCTTTGGTCCCGGTTCTTCTTGTCCTTCGGCATCAAAAAGTTAATGGTCATCGATGACCGGTCCAGTGCAGCCGACTGGTCTGGATGAATGTTGGTGGTTGGAGCTTCTCGCATTCTTCTGTGTTCAAGGCTGACGCGGTCATTTGTGAAAAACATAGATTGGCCTCTGAAAACCTGCAGAGTGGGAAAAAGACAAACAGGAAATGGATTTCTGGGAGAAAACTGAAAATAGCGTGAATAAGCAGCTATGCTTCGCTTGTGCCTCTGAGATGACTAAAAGGCTCCGATTCGCCTATATTTACAGCTTTTTATACATCGGCATCCAACGATATTTTATTTTCATTAAGCTGATTTAAAAGTCAGGCAGCCTGGTGTTGCTGCAGATGTCTATTTTTCTGTTCACTAATAACATCTGCATAATAAATACTCTACATTTACTTTATTTAGGTGTCTAGCTTTAACACTGAGCAGTGCACAAAGTTAAGATTTAACAGTTAAACTCAGAAACGGACTCAGATTCAGCTTTAATGACAGGTAAAAACAGGACGCTCCGATCCGATCACGTGATTTTCAACAAATCGGAACCAAGTGGAAAAGATTGGATTTAACTATAGAAAACAACAAACATTACTTTTTATATTCATCCTGATAAAGAGTCACTGCTTCTGGCCTCAGCTCACCTCTGTCACCTCACAGACTGCTGCCAGCCTCTTACTCTTTATCATCAGTAACATTTGTGAAACAAAACAAAGATTATTGTAAAAAGCTCAGGGTTTGTATGTCAAATAGGATATGAACACATTCTGCAGTTGTCTGCTAATTGGTCGGAGGTTTCCACATCATGGAAACCATACGGCCCTGCACTCGATGCACGTGGGCTGGGTCTTCAGCAGGGGTGGGGCTTACGTTTGTTTTTTTGTCCATTTACATAAAAATAGAGTAGAGCCACACGGCAGCCAGACATGCAGCTAAAGGCTAATGTTTGTGTAGCTTACTCTTACTGCAGGTAGAAAAGATGTAGGGCACGCATTTTGGCTAGTTAAAGGTATGACGGAGGATGTTTCTGAATTTCAGGAAAGAACCGCCCTCTACGTTTAGAAAAAAATGTGCATGAGAACACCCAGGTATCCTCGTGCAGGCTCCGTTTACAAGTAGCTGCTGATCTTGCAGGACTTCTTGAACCAGTAATGCGAAATTCATTTCTCCAAATAGCATGCCAAACTTTAGCTTACCTGTCAAGCAGAAAAACAGCGACAGAGGCATCTGTGGGGAGCCCAACCTTCGCTTTGTACATGCACGGGAAGTGAAAACTACCGAGCAATGAGCACGTTCTACACCGGCCTTGAGTGAATGGTTCACTAGAATGATTTACAGTTATGTGAACCAATGGCTCAGATGTTTATGTTTATGTATTTAGCAGACGCTTTTGTCCAAAGCGACTTACAAGTGATAATCGGCATGTTGCCCTTGAGGCTAACAACAACAATAACAACAACAACAACAACCAATTCCCAGTCAGTCGTAGGTGGCAGTGAGGCAGCATGATGAATCATGGAGAGTAAGGAACAAGGAGAGGACAGTAGAGAGGGGGGACGGGTGCAGGGAGGGTGCTAGTTTAGAAGATGCTCTCTGAAGAGCAGGGTCTTCAGGAGTTTCTTGAAAATCGAAAAGGAAGCCCCTGTTCTGGTAGAGCTTGGTGAAGATGATCCACCCGGAAGAAAAAGACCCTCAGCTTTACCTTTAACGTCAGACAAATACTAAGTATCTGTGCTGCGAATGATGAAGAGTAGGAAAAGCCACGAGTCTGTTTTAGCTCCTGAGTCAGGGTTAGAGTTAGGGTTACCTCAACCCTAACCCGTGGCACTCGTTTTGCTTGGACAGCCCGGCCCTACGTGTTCTGATGGTTACCTTTAACTGAACACTTTGGAGAACCGAGGTGCTCAAAACTGGTGAAGCCAACTTCACTAGTGAGATATGATGAAAACTGGTCAGGTTTGAGCCGGATGCTGTGGAAATTCCTGCTGATGTTTTCCTGTTGGGTGAAAAATAAAGGGACACCCTTTAACCAAACAACCAGACCGTCTTCATCACTGCTGTCTATCACTCTTACCGACAGCTTCTTCCTTCTCACGTAGGACTCCCAGGGCTGCGGCTCCAGGATGAACATGCCTCCTGGACGGAGATGTTTGTAGGCTCTCCTGAAGAAGCGCTTTAGGCCACTGTCCCCCCAGTTTAGGTGGACCCACTTGGTAACACTGAGGCACAGGATCACATCATATTCTGGGCACTGGGTCAAAAGAAGATTATCGTTCTGCAAGACATAGTTGGCCTGAAAAAATTGAAAAACAGACCTGATTAGATCACCATTTCTGCATGGCTGCAATAGAATAAAGCCAAAAGTTTGGTGTTTACAGCACTGCAGAACAAGATGTAAGATGAGTAAGTAAAAGACCCCATCATTCCAAACTAAACACGTTCTGTGGTACAGGGTGACGTCCAGGTTCTGCAACCAAGCTCAAGGAGAAAAACCCACAAGTCTTTGCTGTACAGACGAACCATTTAACTCAAATATGGTGTAAGAATCAAATAAACATATCATAAGAATCAAATAAACATACCAAATCTTTTTAGATCTACAAAAAATAAATCTGAACAAATTTGCAAGCAAAAACGGCTTTAACTCGACCGAAACCTACAACGTAATTTCCCATTCAGATATCGATATCGGAAGTAATTCGATATTGGCCCAAAAACACTATCGGATTATATCGGACTGCATAATAATCTCAGATATAAGCGCTCCGTTAAGGTTCACATTTTTGCAACCAATGGTTAAAAAAAATTGTTATTTTTTTCATGCTTGCATTTATTGCAGGGTATCTGCAGGTTTAAGGGAGCCAAATTTAAGACTTTTTAAGACCTTTTTTAAGGCCACTTTGACCAAATTTAAGCAATTTTTAAATTTAAGCTATAATTTCCAGCTATTGCCTGGAACCGGTGCTAACCATGTCGCGAATGTAGAATTAGCCACCCAGTTACTATTAAACTTGCACTTCTCCATGGCGCAAGCTCCCACTAGCTTAACCAGCTAATGTGCTCATCTAAAAATAGCCCCCTTTCACAACCAACCGAATGTGTACGGTTCCGCTTACACCAACATTGTACACAAAAAATGCTGAACACTAACAACAAATTCACGAAAATTTTATAGAAATAAAACAATCTTGTTTATTGGGTCTTTGGTAATTTAAGACCTTTAAAAACTCTATTTAAGGATTATTAGTGATTTTTATGGATTTTTAAGACCTTAAATTTGGAAAAGCTAATTTAAGACTTTTTAAGGACCCGCAGATACCCTGTTATTGGCTCTTGTTCTCCAATTGAGTAATATCACTTGATCAAGCCTTTCATACATTCTAGACTATGAAATAGGTACAAGTATGTATGATTTGTGCTGATATCACATCAGATTGATATCGGTATCGGACAATACTGAAGGCTGCAATATTGGTATAGTATCGGGAGTAAAAAAGTTGTATCGGGACACCCCTAACGTAAACCCTCTAGACTTGGTTGCAGAGAAACAAAAAATTCTTAAGATTAGAGATGTTGCATGATTACAAAATGGATGTTTGAGTGAGTAAAAGCAGAGAAAATAATAATGTTGAAGAAATTTGATTATCAGAAAATAAAAATATATTTAAAGCAACATAATAGAGTTTTAACACTTTAAACTGCTGCTTTCAAACTGGTTTCAGTGGTTCTTGAGCCAAATACTTGAGCAGCTCTACATTGGACAGCACTCTGCTGCCCTCTGCTGACCAGAAACTGCACTTAACAGTTTTGTGGTTCAAGCAGGAACACTAGGGGGAGCTCGCTACCTGCTTTAGCCGATAGTTAATATAAAGGCTATCAGTTTTTTTCTGTTTGCCGACCATCAATAAAAATCATAAGAAAAAGATAAACAGTGACGGAAGTGACATCACAAACTGGTGACGCTCTGACATAGGCAACAGCAGGAGTCAAAACCGTTAGCAAAAAGGTAAAAACAAGCTTTGCTACTCTGTATACAGGTCCTTCTCAAAAAATTAGCATATTGTGATAAAGTTCAATATTTTCTGTAATGTACTGATAAACATTAGACTTTCAAATATATTAGATTCATTACACACAACTGAAGGATTTCAAGCCTTTTGTTTCTAATATTGATGATTTCGGCATACAGCTCATGAAAACCCAAAATTCCTATCTCAAAAAATTAGCATATCATGCAAAGGTTCTCTAAACGAGCTATTAACCTAATCATCTGAATAATCTAATTAACTCTAAACACCTGCAAGAGATTCCTGAGGCTTTTAAAAACTCTCAGCCTGGTTCATTACTCAAAACCTCAATCATGGGTAAGACTGCCGACCTGACTGCTGTCCAGAAGGCTATCATTGACACCCTCAAGCAAGAGGGTAAGACACAGAAAGAAATTTCTGAACGAATAGGCTGTTCCCAGAGAGCTGTATCAAGGCACCTCAGTGGGAAGTCTGTGGGAAGGAAAAAGTGTGGCAGAAAAGAAAACGCTGCACAACGAGAAGAGGTGACCGGACCCTGAGGAAGATTGTGGAGAAGGACTGATTCCAGACCTTGGGGGACCAGCGAAAGCAGTGGACTGAGTCTGGAGTAGAAACATTCAGAGCCACCGTGTACAGGAATAGCATCTTGCAGTTGATGGAGATTTGTGGGATGCACATCCAGGGCACGAAGCTCCCGTTCCACCACATCCCAAAGATGCTCTATCGGGTTGAGATCTGGTGACTGTGGGGGCCGTTGTAGTACAGTCAACTCATTCAAGAAACCAGTTTGAAATGATTGAAGCTTTATGACATGGCGCATTATCCTGCTGGAAGTAGCCATCAGAGGATGGGTACATGGTGGTCATGAAGGGATGGATATGGTCAGAAACAATGCTCAGGTAGCCCGTGTCATTTAAACCATGCCGAGCTGGCACTAAGGGGCCTAAAGTGTGCCGAGAAAACATCCCCCACACCATTACACCACCACCACCAGCCAGCACAGTGGTAACAAGGCATGATGGATCCATGTTCTCACTCTGTTTACGCCAAATTCTGACTCTACCATTTGAAAGTCTCAACAGAAATCGAGACTCATCAGACCAGGCAACATTTTTCCAGTCTTCAACTGTCCAGTTTTGGTGAGCTGGTGCAAATTGTAGCCTCTTTTTCCTATTTGTAGTGGAGATGAGTGGTACCCGGTGGGGTCTTCTGCTGTTGTAGCCCATCCGCCTCAATGTTGTGCGTGTTGTGGCGTCACAAATGCTTTGCTGCATTCCTCGGTTGTAACGAGTGGTTATTTCAGTCAAAGCTGCTCTTCTACCAGCTTGAATCAGTCGGCCCATTCTCCTCTGACCTCTAGCATCAACAAGGCATTTCACCCACAGGACTGCCGCATACTGGGTGTTTTTCCCTTTTCACACCATTCTTTGTAAACCCTAGAAATGGTTGTGGGTGAAAATCCCAGTAACTGAGCAGATTGTGAAATACTCAGACTGGCCCGTCTGGCACCAACAACCATGCCACGCTCAAAACTGCTTAAATCGCCTTTCTTTCCCGTTCTGACATTCACTTTGGAGTTCAGGAGATTGTCTGGACCAGAACCACACCCCTAAATGCATTGAATCAACTGCCATGTGAATGGTTGATTAGATAATTGCATTAAGGAGAAATTGAACAGGTGTTCCTAATAATTCTTTAGATGAGTGTAGAAAAAAACCGAAAACAATAGAATTAGAAAATCAACACAGAATGAATGATGTCCAAAAAAGAAGAATTTTGCTATTTTGTTGGCATCGTGGAAAAGCCTGGAAGTAAAAATAAGGGAGTAATGTCTTCGGACGTGAAGCTAACAGCTAATACAGAATGAACTTAGGGTTCAGTGTCAGTTGACATGTGTTAGCTCTTTGTTAGCACTAGCTACACCTGGCTGCAGTAGGGCTGTTTACGAAAAGGGGGAGAAGCAGGAAACTTAGATTGTTTTTAAATTACCATGAATGTGCAAATAATGGGTTTTTACCATCTTAAAACAACACTATCGTATAGGCATATTATAAAGGTTTCCATTGGTAGCTTTGCTCTAATAGCAGCTTCCTGCAGCGCTGTTGACTATAAGAGCCTAAAAACCTTTAAATATTTATAGAACACATGGACTCTGCCTTTGTTTGCCAAACACTCAACATTCAGTTGTTTCTTCTGAAACCGAGCTTGTGTGGGGCAGACTGACAGAGCTTTACAGAACATGCTCTAGTGGTGCTGCCATTATTCTAACCCCTCACAGAGGTGTAACAGGCAGCTATTGATTTCATTTGGAAGCACTTTCTCTGAATTCATGTTCCTTCAACATAAAACCTTTTAACCACAACACCCCTGCTCTGAAGACATTATAGAGTAGCACCTATGACAGAAGCAACAAACAAAAGCCCACAGAAACTCTACAACATCTTGGCCAGAATGGCTGAGCTGTGTGGAAACGCTGAACAAAAGGTGATCCAACAGACAATGCCTAAAGGTCATGTAAGGAAAATCTGCTTTTTATAGTCAACAAAACTAAAATAAAACTCATTTTAGAGATCAGACTGATCACTGAGGATCTTCCCTGGAGTCTGAGCAGATGGTTCACTTCCTCTGGAGACTTAAGGCAGAGACAATTCTCCCTTTCTTCACTATCCTCTGATCACGAGCACCTGGTGAAGCTTCACACAGGAAGTGAAAGGGAAACTCTACAAAGAGTGGTGAAAATGGCTACGACTCATCCAGCTCTCACTTCCCTATGCCAACCAATGAGCAAGAAGACCCCTCCCACCCAGCACTTTTACCTCCAATGATCTGTCTGGGGCAGCGGTAGCTCAGGAAGTAGAGCAGGTTGTCCAGCAATCAGAGGGTTGTAGAACCGATCCCGGTTCTCAGTTGAGAATTCTGATGCTGTGTCCTTTGGGCAAGACACACCACCCAACCTGTCTGCTAGTGGTGGGTGAAGGCAGCCTCGCCTCTGTCAGTGTGCCCCAGGGCAGTTGTGGCTACATCGTAGCTCATCATCAACAGGGTGCGAATGATACATTGTAGTGTAAAGCGCTTTAGAGTCCTCTGACTTTGAAATGCGCTACACAAGTATGGGTCATTTATCATTTCAGATGATGGCCTACACGTTTTTTTTTTCCTAAACATTGGCTGTGGTTTCCAGTATAATGATCTCTCCTCTGATTGGCTAACCGCAACGCGACTCTTCAACTGCCTCCGTCTGATTTGCAACGTTGATGATTTGTCTCCACAAATAACACGAGCCTGAAGGAGTTCTGCTGTGTTGTGAAGTTCCTAATGCTAACACTTAGCTCCTACTAGCCGAGATGCGCTCTGCTCTCTCCTGGACGCTAAATCAACAACAGCCTTTCCCGTCGTGGGTCAAGAAGGGCGAGTCTATGAAGGTAAATGTTCAGCAGGACGTAGATCTCTGGGCCTTTTCTAATCCGAGCATTTCTCCATCTATTTTCTATCAGCAGCTAATGCAGGAAATAGGGGTAGAAGACACTCGAGTGACTGATCATATTTCAAAAAGAGCCAACGTTATGTTTCTCAGCGAACTTAACCTTTAATCTTATTCTAGTATGGAATCACTATTTGCTCAGGCAAGACGAGCAAATCAAAATGTAAGATTGAATTTCAAACATAATAGCGAGCCTAAGTCTCCTCCATTTCTGGTTGGCTCACGGGTCCCCAGAAGAACAAAAAAATGAATGCAAGCCAAGGCGACTAACGGAGCTATTTTCCAAACCGCTTTGCCTTACGCCCTGAATCACACATATGTTGTACTTCCATTTAAATGAAAAGTAATGATGGATGTTTCGACCACGCCAGTCACGTACTTTAAGATTCATCAACTTGTAAAAGTTCGTAATTAGCATGACTACAAACCAGACGTCACCACAGAATCTCCTCCCCCCCTAGCGTAGCTGCTCCTTACCTCGTGGTCAGATTTATGGTGGTTCTTTCCTCCTGAAGGAAGGATTCAAAGTTCGCTGAACTTACAGCTATTTTCCCCTCTGCTTTTCTCCAAGTCTGGTTCAATTACATCAATTCGGTAATGCGCATTTGTATTCCTGGATGTATTTTCACACAAAACCTAAAAAACCTTTTGCCCCAGTTTGAAATAAAGAGTTTATGCCCATTGACGCAATACTTATTTTCTTCTTGCATAGCAAACAGTATGCCTCCCTCACGTTCCCCTCGACTGGCTGCAGCCATTCTTTGAAATTTGGCATATCCAGCCAGGACGCTGCAAACCTGCACTTTCCCATCTCGTTGTGCGTTCACCAACATTCTCTTCCATCTTAACATTTAGGTGCTTTCGTAATATGCACCGGGAACACCAGAGCGTTCTTTGCACTTTTGAGCTTCCACCCCGTCCGCCCTGGTGCTCTGAGAGAAAAATTACTAACGCACCCAAAACAGCGTAGTATATATTTTTTTATCTTTTTATGCTCCCTTGGTTCGTAAAAAAAAAAAAACTAAAAATAAACTGTTGGCTATAAAAAAATCTCTAAATTTAAGACTTTACAAAGCCGTGATAAGACTTTTAAATACTTTTTAAGGGTCTTAATTTTTCCAAAATTGATTTATCAACTTTTAATACTTTTCAAGACTCCGCGGATACCCTGGAAAATGAGCACATTCTTTGCATTAGAATGCAGATTTTAAATTCCCGGACATCATATGTGAAATCCATGGCACAAAACAAACGAGATTAGAAAATAGTGTTTTAACCCCATTGACTTGCATTCATTTTTTCATTCTTCCAGGGACCCATGGTCCAGAAGTAGATGGGCATAACTTAGGCTGCCTATTAGAGTGCACATCGTATTTCACTGTCAGAAAGAACAGCTGGGGCGAACAAGCAAACAAATGTAAGGAAACAGTTTGGTATATTTTGGTTAGAAGTTGAAACTAATTCAATAAAAACAGCATTTATCACTTATCACTCATGACCTTTGATCTTATTTAGAAATCAGATTTGGATCTTTGAGTATCAAGTGCGAGAACCTCTGCTGAGAGAATAAAAAAAATAAAAGAAGTGTAAAATAACTAGATCGTCTCAGTGAGGGCTCAGTGTTTGTGCTTTTCATTTAAACTGATGCTCTTCTGGTTTTGAATTAACTCAGGAAACAATGATTCATGTTTTTATTAGAGGTAAATGTTTTTGCTCTGCACCAATTTAGTTGGTAGCTGGTATTTACATCCTAGCTGATTTTATAGCCTTCACTTCCTATTTGACAGCCTGTGTATCACTGTGCGCTATGACAAGATCATCATCATCATAATCATCATCAGGACCAAGGAAGAGGATGTGGATGGCCTAATTAAAACAAAATCTCATTTGAGGTGGATCATCAGAATGTTTTGGAGCTCTTTCACACAGCCAGGTAATCACAGGTGAGGAGCTAGCTTACCGTGATGAAGGACACATTAGATGGGAACTCCCCAGGCTGAGCGGTGCACGTTTCTGTTATTGGGGGTGCAGCGATGGGACCCCTGGAGATCCGCAGAGACACTGGGAAAGAGCAGCTCACAGGGGTATTAGCAGGCAGAGCATCACACTCTTTTTGCTCCATTTCATCCGTTTTACTGTCCTGCTCCTGGGTCCCCGTCTCAACTGGTAGACAAGAGTTCCCTGCTGGGCCACCTTGTCCTGCTGCTGCTTTCCTATTTTCACCATGCTCCTTCTCTGTGCCTGCCAGGCACTCGTTCTCATTCTTCTCCTGGGTAGCAGTCTTTTTCTCCTGCACTGCATGCCTGGCCTCTTGGGTCTGCAGCTCAGACAGATAATGTCTAATGTTCTTACGAGCAACACGTATCAGACCGCTGTCAATATCCAGACCCAAAATGCGTGCAGGCCGGAACATTTTAGCAATATAGAGGGTCAGGTGGCCCGAGTTGCACCCCAAGTCCAGCACATCTTTACCTTCAAACCACTCTTGGCGAAGCACAAATATCCGCTGGTCTTCGCCATTTCCTGGGTTGCGATACCCATAATACTTGTTGTAGTTCCCAAACTGGAACTTCTTCTGGTGTTCCTTTGTGTGACTGTGGTGATACTGGTGCTGGCGAGGTCCCAGGACAACTTTGGGACCACTTCTTGGCGTGTGGAAGGTGCTTTTCTGCCCACCTGTGCCACAACTCCCGTCTCCAGATCCTGATTTGCTAACGGGGGTAGAGTGGGTGACAGGGTGCTCCATTTTTCCTGAGTTGCGCCTCCGTTTGCGTCTGCTTGCAGGCTGATTTGATCCCACCGACAGAAGAGCAGGATTTTCCACAGCCACAGAAGCCGCCTCCTCCACAGAGCTGGCAGTGTTGTCAGCCGTGGGTTCACGGGAATCTCCGGGGACACTCGAGAAACTGTTGGGCTCTTTGGAGGCATCTTGTGCAGAACATGAATCGGGCATGCCTGGAAGCTGTGCAGAGGTGCTGCTTTTGACCTCACCCTTTTCTGACTCTGAGGCGTTCGTTTGATTGTTTGAAATCCCACTCCCAGCCCCTCCTCCGTGATGTCTGTTCCGATGCCTTTTCCTTCCACTGCCTTTAAAGGGAGACGCCAACAAGATGCTGTCCGCTATACCGCTGTTCAGGTTCAGCGGATCAGTGATGTCCCTGGGGATAAGAATCTCAACCGGGTCTCGACTCTTCGCAGGCAGCGGGGAGGATTTTGGCGTCTCTGCATTAAGTGCCCTGTTGACCTCCTCATCCATCAGGCTGTTGAGATTTAGTGGGTCAAAAATGTTGCCTCCCAGGAGGAATTTTGTCGGCAGGACTGAGTCACTTTCTGAGACGGCCCTTCGTCTTCTCTTCCCAGATGATGGATGTTTGAAACCAGAGCTTGCCGTGTAGCGTCGCTTTGTTAGCTTAGTTTGCTGCTGCTGCTGTTTAACATGTTGGAAGCTGTTCCTGCGATTGATGCCGTTGTCGTTCCCTTTGGTTTTCTGTCCAGCGCTGTCCGTGCTGGTGTGTTTTGGTGAGGCAGCGGTGCCTGGGACAGGACAAGCAGCTGTACAGTCAGGGGTGGCTGCAGCTTCCTCCATGGTCACGGACACGCTACTGTAACCTCCAGAACACTCCGAGAGCTGCAGAGGTGAAGCTGAGCTGGCCTGTGGACTGCCAGCTTTTTCAATCTTCTCATCAACAGACATTTGCTTTACATTGAAGAGTTTCCTGGGTCTGAAAGCAAAAGCACAAACATGCTGTAACAAAAACGCACAAAACAACCATCTGATCTTTGTTTTTTTAAAAGGGTAAACAAACTTTGATTAAATCAAGTCCATCCCAGCTGCACAGACCAGTAAATGATTTAGAATTAGGAATAACTTCAGATTATACAAAAACATATCAAATAAGCTTCACAGAGAACATTTACAACAACCAGATGACTGAAGTGCTTAAACATAAACCCCCAAACAACAGAATGAATAAAACTGTGAAAATGTTTAAACTGAAAATCAAACCAGCAAACACTACTAAAAGAAATAATGAAACAATTATTTTAAATGAACAAAACTTCATATGTCTATATCTAAGAATATATATCATGCAATAAGGAGATATTTTAAAAAGACCAAATAATCAACAAAATTAACATATTTGAATATGTTGTGTTTATGTAGAACTTTAAAATAGTGATGTTCAATATTATCGGTCTACCATTAATATCTGCATTAATATATAATATCGGAAAATGCTGTTTTCGTTTTTCAGTCTGACAACTTTTACATAACATATTCTACATCAAACTCTACAGCTACTTTTCCCTCTCAAGTCAAAATGCCAAAATATGACAGATCTGAGAAAGTTTTAGAGAAAATTTAGCTTTTTTGGCACAACTTGTGAAGTAGAAATTTACCAAGTGTGGTGAATGTAGGCTGTCCTCAGCGTGCAGGTGCGTGTAGCTAGACAGCGAACAAATGACTAAAACAAGAATCTTCACCCAAGGGTTGCCTTTCTTATCTGAAGGTCTTTATTTACCTTTCATCACCACAGCTGCAATATGTAAAATAAGAAAAAAAAATTATTAATTAATAACCACATCTTAATAAACACTTCTAATTAAACATCTTAGCGTCACGCTCAGGGAGAATGAGATTTAGCTGCAGCTACAAAATAAACAAGGCACTTTTCATATTACTGATATAGTTTTCATTTTGCACAGAAAATGTTTCAAATGTAAGCATGCCTGGTAGGAGAAATGTGATGTTAGTAACCTAAAATGTTTTAGTTTTTCTTTAATCGAGATGAGAGCCACAGCATATATCAATATCTGTTTATATCGGTATTGGAAATTAAGACTCAGACAATATCGGTATATCGGATATCGGTAAAAAGTAACCAATATCGAGCATCCCTAATTTAAAATATGGTAAAAAAACAAAGAACAAATATTTTTTCCCCCAAGAAATATAATGTCTAACACTAAAATATTACTGTTGATTCAGTAAAGTGCTTTATATATTTAAAAGGAGATTTAATTTTTTTTAAGTTATTTCTTGATTTTTTTCAATTGCATTACACATAAAATGCTAATAAATATATATTTACAGCAATCTGGCTCAAAACCTTCCAACTAATAAAAGACATGTCCAGGCATCTGCACAAAGCTGCGTTTTCTTTGTGGTCAAACATTTACTAGTTAGACCAGATTGTGTAAAAAATTAGCTCTTAACTTTCTAGAGTCCTATAGTAGCAGTTTTATTTTTAAAGCAATAAGTGCTGTCCCCCACAGGCAGTTGTTCTGGAGGACTACACCCCTCTCAGGATGAAGCCCTGCCGCTCTCAGCGTGTCTCCTGAAGGGTAAAAGTTTGGGAGTCCGTGTTGGACAGCAATCGTGTTAGCACACTAGCTCTTAGCTTCTACCGCGGGCCAGAGCACCGAGACGTCGAATAAAACACTCGGCTACTCTGCAGCCAAATAGCGGCGTCAGATGATCAGCTAAGCGCCTACCTCGGTGTGTTGTTGTCTGAATCCTGGTTAAAGCCCCAGTCGTGGATGTGGAAGTGATACTTTCTCCCAGATGGCTGCCTACCTACCAGCGTGCAGTCAACAGTGTAGTCACCATCAAAATAACAGTCTCGCCCCGCAGCTCGGCTCTCCCCGCCTCCTCACTGTCACTGCGCCGCGCGAGCTAGCGCTAGCTTAGCATAGCTCGCGCACAAATCTCTGAACACAAACACAACGCGCTGCGCGAGGGGGTCTTTCTCTTTACAAGATCAGGACTTCTTAGTCCCTCAGTGTCTCTCTAGTCAACTCAAGTAGGTCTGTATCAGACAGGTTAATAAGGCGAATAAATGATTATAATTGCTAATAGAGTCGGCATGGCGGCGCATCCGGGCTCCGAGCTGAGGCTCAATGTGACTGGGGTGGAGAGATCCCAGACTACTGAGCTCTTCTGCAAGCTTCTTACTCCTGAGTCCTGGCTGCCAGTTAACCAGGTGGCAAGTGCAAGATGGTTTAGTAGAGGGAAATATGTTTTTAAACAAACATCCACTACATTACGAACTTTATGGCTCTCTCCCCAGAAGGTGTTACAGCAGTTATGTTTATTTTTATTTCCTGGGACATAAAACAAAACCTTACAGTAATTTTCAGTTTAATTTGATATCTGTAGATTATCTCAGCCATCCTCCACTCAAAGTGAAGTCCTTAAACATATCAGTCACAGCATCTTTATGTTGTCAACCTATTCATAACTTCAAATCAAAGTGTCAACACGTGAATTTTGTCCTTTGTTAGTTATAATTTTTAATTTTATTCTGTGTATAATGTTGATCCATTTGGAGTATAAACCATCTTATAAATAATAATAATTTGACATAATCATTTTGTGTACTAGTAATTTAATTCACTGACAGTATTACATTAAGTTTTGAAAAACTTATTCAATAAATAAATTGAACTTTATGGCTTTTTTTGTGCTTTTCAGGAGCAAGAAGAAACAGACCATCCATCCATCTTTTTCCTCCTGTTATTCAGGGGCAGCAGCCACTTGGAGCAGCCCATCTGTGGGAATCCTGAAGACATTCCTAGGCCTGTAGAGAAACATAGTGCCACCAGGGTGTCCTGGGTCTTCATTTAGGTCTCGTCCTTGTTGGACATGCCCAAAACACCTCACCAGGAGGGATCCTGACCAGATGCCTGTGCCACCTCAACTGATTCCTCTCCATGTGGAGGAGAAGCGGGTCTGCTCTCAGTCGCTTCCGAATGGCTGAGCCTCTCACGCTATCTCTAAGGGAGAGACCAGTCACCCTGCGGAGAAAGATCATTTTGGCTGCATGTATGCCCAATCTCATTTTCTCGGTCACTAACCAAAGCTCCTGAACAGGATTGGAAAGTAGATCGACTGGTAAAATCAAAAGATACAAAAAGATAGCGTTGTCACATGCTCAGTTATACAAGTACAAGCTGCAGGGAGCTGAGACCCTGACCTGCCTCAAAGACCTCAATATTCAACACAAGTAAGAGCAACAATAAAATTGAATAATCCAACATATCTTGAATAAATATACAAACAGTGATGGAGAAGCAAATGTATAATAAAATTAAATAAAACTTTTGTATCAGGAAGATACGTATAAACTAAAAGTAAAACAAAAATAGGACAAGTTTATGTAGAAACTAATGTGTAGAACAGTGAACCTCAATTGGCAGCCCGCGGGCCACATCCGGCCCGCCAGACCATTCCACCCAACCCCCCAATCCTTTGGGCCCTAACTATGGACGTAGTTTTAAGTCCCCTACACTTTTTACCGTCTCAAAACAGTATTATGTGATATCAAATAGACACTAGTTGAGCACTACGACCAAATGGAAAACAACCACTTGTGTTGTAGCCATTTTCCCATTAAAACCATCCATAAGCTCATCTATTGGCTCTGCTGATACTTGCTAATGTGTGATTGGCCGTTCCTGCCACCTGTGTACTTGACAGCTCTGCATTCCTGACATTGCATAAAAGGGCCTCTAGATTGTATTACATAATTCATGTCCCATATCAATAATTGTTTACGTTCTCCAAACAACTAAAACTACAATCAAAACAGTTTAAATAGAAAAAAAGGCATTTTAAATATTAGTAAAATAAGATTCAATAAAACTTGAACATTATTTTAGAAGAGCTTCTGGCTCTCACTGTGGCTCGTGGAAAAATCTCCCTTGAACAAATTTAGTTGAAGACCCCTGGTATAGGAGATAAGGTGCATGGGGATTACATAACATGTTATCTGCTTGAGGAATAAAAAGATGGCAGTTGACAGTGATGTTGTGTTTGTATGAACCATAATATGTGTAATGCAGCAGGTGAAGTAACCAGTGCTACTTTTAGTTGTAGTGGTGGTGCATGTACTGACTGAGGATTCAAATATTTTCAGGGTAAAAACTCCATCTGAGTCTCTCAGTTCTGGCTGCAGAATTGTTTTTCTGAGTTCAGCAGCTGAAACAGACAATTTCCTGTGTGAAAAGAGTCCCTGTTAACTTTGATGTTTCTACCATGGCAGTGTCTGATGTACAGGGTGGGCCATTTATATGTATATGGACACACCTTAATAAAATGGGAATGGTTGGTGGTATTAACGTCCTGTTTGTGGCACATTAGTATATGTGAGGGGGCAAACTTTTCAAGATGGGTGGTGACCATGGTGGCCGTTTTGAAGTTGGCCATCTTGGATCCAACTTTTGTTTTTTCAATAGGAAGAGGGACATGTGACACACCAACCTTATTGGGAATTTCACAAGAAAAACAATGGTGTGCTTGTTTTGAACGTAACTGTCAACCTTCTGCAGCTTGACAGCATCCTCGCTGCTGGTGTGCACCAGCGGGTTTGATGGTTTCTACAACAGGCACCAACCACTCTGAGCCTGAGCTAAAGAAAAAACTGAATTTTGAAAGCAACATAAAACAGTCAAGAGCTACTTAGGAGCTGAAAATGCTATATCCTCTCAGCGAGCAGCTGCCACCTTCATACTGTAACCAATCCACATTGTATTGGACTCTTCATGCTCCTGCAGGTGGCGGGTCCATAGCTATATGCACTTAAATAACTCTATGGCCTAGAGCCTGGCCATCAGGTTTCCAAGGGTAGACCTTGATAACCCCATAAGATAGCCAGCCTTTAAGAAAAGTTGAGAATCTTGGCCCATGTGATCAATTTGTATTATAGCTGCTGCTCTGTCACAGCAAGAGGAAGCAGTAGGTGGTTTTGGCATTTGGTGTCTTGGATGCCTCCATGGGAATGTGCTTTAGGTAGGATCATCTGAGTGCATCCATGAAGTATTACATCTCTGAGCTGGCCTGAGAACAGATTAGGGTCCATCCAGAAGAGCTGGTGAAAGTGGCTGGGTGCTCCAGTGAGCACACATAGGTGGGCCCCATGGTGGCCACACATGGGTTTGCCAAAAGAGATTTTTGCACACATAGATTTTAAAAGGCCCCACATGGATTTTCAGAGGTTTTGACTCATATACCAACCCAATAAAATCTTTGTGGGTAAACCTCAGTGGGGCCACCGTGGAAATCGCAGACAAACCCTGGTGGGACCCATACGACTTCCCCAAATGTATTCCATGTGGGGCCCACCTATGTGTGTTGACTGGGGGGAGAGGACAGTCTGGGCCTTCCTGCTCGGGCTGCTGCCCCTCCGACCCAAATCTGGATAAGACGAAGATGAGTGTGAGTTTGAACTTAAACACAGAAAAATGTACCTTCTGTTGTAGCTGAGAGTAAATGTCCTGTACTTGTATGGTGCCCTCTTAGGGTTCTACAACCCCCCAAGACATTTTACAACACAATCAGTCATCCACCCATTCACACACACATTCACACGCTGGTGATGATGAGCTACGGTGTAGCCACAGCTGCGCTGGGGCGCGCTGACAGAGCTGCCGAACACTGGCGCCAGTGCCACCGGTCACTCAGACCACCACCAGCAGGCAAGGCGGGTTAAGTGTCTTGCCCAAGGATACAACAGCAGCATTCTCTGGTCGAAGAGAACTCTCCCCTCCTTTTCTCTGACCATTCTAACAGATATGCACAAATCCATAACATGTTTTTTGGTGGTGTCTGGTAAAAGTACCTTTCCTAAATTTCTAATGTGACACCTTCTATGTACTAACAAAGACCTCATATGCATCAAGAAAATCAGGGGAATAGAAGCATTCCCATCAGCCAATGGCCAACATATCTAAAACTTTTTAGTAAATACAACAGATATTTGTAGCAAGTTGTTCTCAAAAGTTCAAATCTGAGATATTTACTGCCTCTTAAAATTCCAGCGGCTGCAAAAGTGTCACTCACTCATTTCAAATACAAAAATGTTGGATGGTTTTACAAATAGCTGAGTAAAAATACCTCCCTCTCTTAAGTAACTTAATATCTAGCATGTGTATTATATAAATATTTTCCAACCTCTTGGTAAGTGTGTATTCTGAGCTGAAGATGGTGCTGCAGTACTAGAATTACAGAATTTCCCTAAATTGCCACAAGGAGGACACCTTCCACTTCCTGTCATTCTGTGTTCTAACAGGTGGAAATATCCTGCCTTATTTCACCTTTTTCTCCTTCTCAATAAAACCTTCTACTCAGTTCTAGCTGCTGTACGCTGGCTATTGTTGAACAGGAGCAAACAGAACCGTACATTTCTTTAGCTTTATAATCAGATCAGTTTGGTATAAACAGTTATTTGTTCATATGGAGCGTGCTAGTATTGGACCAGCATTGTGATTAATGATCAAAAGCCTCATCCCTCCCTCAGAAAGCCCCCCGCAGGAAGCTCTACAGAAACAGGAAGGTAAATTAGGTAAATTAAAGCTTTGGTGGAAGTAAAAGAAGGAAAACAAAGTCTAACGCAGAGAATATTTCAAGGTTCATATGTAGAATCCGTGCACTTTTATTAGAAAGTGTGAATCGTGGAGCAGCCCTTGGTTGCCATGGACACCTGCAGATTTCATCTAGCTCTGTGAAAACCCAGCATGTTAGACAAATACATGTTAAAATATACAGTTTATTAATGTTTAATCTAAACAGATGTAAGTTGCAATATTGTCTCCACTCTCCACCTGCATTTGATGTTTAATTGATTTAATTTGTTTTGTTTTCAGCTAAAATTCTGTGCTAACATCAACATTGAGTGTGAAACTATATGAGCTAATGTGAGAACTGCAACAATGATCTGGAATTTTCCTATTTATGATTTGTGTAGCCGTAGGACAGAACACTTAAACTCTGCTGTTGAGTTGTTCCTAATTTGGTTTCAAATCAGTCTATGCTGGACTAAATCAGCCATCCCCCCTCACTTTAATCTCTAAATAAATAAAAGCGAGGGTACCTGTCCCCCCCGCCTCTGTCTCCGACCTTTCTCATGTTAATGTGGGTGCGGTCCTCAAT